ATCAGGGGCGAAGGTCAAAAATGCATGTTCGCTCTTGTTGACAAACACATGTTCTCCACTTCTTGCTTGGAGCATATTCTTGATATCATATACAGGTGCAATCAGAACAATGAAGCTGATAAGAAGATGTTTTCAGATATGCTTCGGTGGTATATTAATTTTCGTCAAACTCTTCTTGCCATCATACCCAAGCTGTTCAAGACTATAAAGAAAACCACCGTTACTCAAACGAAGTGATCTCTCGCCTCAATTGGTGCAAAGGGGGAGATTGTTGAGTCTATGGGTTGCGCCATTGGGCTTCGGTAGTATAGTCTAATGTATTCACGGTTTGGGCCTGTCCAACCGTGTTTTGTTTTAGGGTTTAGTATATATATAGTGCATGCATGCATTATATTAGTTATGCTTCTGGAATATTTTCTTCAACAAGTACTGTAACCCTAGCACACCTCTAAAGTAGAAGTTCTTCATCGAGCTCTTCTGAGGTGTTGCTGTTTTAATCATTCGACATCTGTTTGATTCATTGTGTGTTTGCTCTTTGGTTTACTTTCTGTTTTATTTGTTAAGAATCTTATCGATCTAAAAGAGTTTTCAACTCGTCACTCCGTCTCCATTCGACCTTCCACGCATGACATCCTCTCTAGGATTATGGTATTCTCGAGAATGCTTTGCAAATTCTTCAATTAGCTCCTTATTTGTAGCCATGTTCTTCTTGGTTAGTGGCCCTTGAGAGTCTAGAAGTTGCCTTGGGCAAACATTGATCCCATTGTAAAAAGTTGAGATCTCTTGTTGCACATTGAGGTCATGTTGGGGACAATTCCTTAGCATCTCTTTGTAACTTTCCCAAACCTCATATAGAGACTCCCATCATGTTGTTGGAAGTTTAGAGTGTTCTTCTTAAGCTTTGCAATCTTTGATGGAGGGTTGAATTGTTGAATAAATTGCTCTCTAAGGTTGGCCCATGTTGTAATAATTCCCGATGGTAGTGATTTAAACCACGTTTTAGCCGTATCCTTGAGTGTAATTAGGAGGATTTGTAACATAACCACATCTCTCGTCACATTTGGAAAGTTGAAATAGTCAGCAATATCTAATACTTTGTTGATATGCTTGTAAGCGTCTTCATGATCTTTTCTGAAAAATGGCGTATCTTTAAGCATGTTGAGGATGTGTCCTTTAAGTTCGAAATTTGCTGCAGTCGGGATAGTTGATCGCACGAGACCATGCTCGTTATCTTCTCACATCCGTCGGGTATACTCTTCCATGGTCATATCTGCAATGTCAACCAATATAATAAATTAATCAATCAGTCTCTCTCTAAAAGATATCCTATTCAATTGCTAGGTTTGAGGGCAACCTAAAATGACTGTGATACTATCAATTCAAATATATCCCAATTATATTACGGGTTTAGACACCTAATCCAACATTTTATCCTCAAAATTAATACCTAAAAATATGCAATGTTCTCGACAGCAATTCCGTGCTCACTATAAGATCAGATGAACAAGTTAACAACCGATTAATTCCTTTTCTTGAATTCGAACTCTAGAAAGGAAAAAATGCATTACTTCTTTCAAAGAATGATAACAGAAAGGCAGTGAAGGAGGGATGACAAGAGAAGACCACCAGGTTGAATCGAGTGTCAGAGAAAATCACCTCCTTCACAGTGAAATTGTTGCTTGCCAGAATTCAAGAACGTTGGCAACAGTGCCACAGACTCCGGGTAAGCAGCTATGGTGGGATCATTAAAAGGAAGAGATAGGAGAAAGATGCAGATTTAAGAGAAGGAGATGGCGTATTGATACGTGTATTGAGAGAGATAAAGAGAGGGGGTGGGTAGGGTGGGTTTGGGTCTTTTTTTTTAATTAAGAAAAATATTAAAAAATATAAAAAAAACAAAATTAAAATGGTAAAATAGCCCTTTCATTTTTTTCAAGGACCAAACTACAAAAAAGTTTTCGATTTTGGACTAGTGGTGCAAGTTGAAAAGATTTTGGACTAATGATGCAAGTTGAAAAGAGTTTTGACTCCATCCACAGTTTTTGGCAACTATTGGGACTAAATTTGCAGTTTACTATTCTTTAATTAGAAAATAATAAAAAAACTATAAAAGAAAATATTAAGGGCATTATAGTAATTTCCTATTATACATAGACTTATATCGTAACAAAGTCAAAACCTAAGGACAATCCGTATAAAAAAATATATATTATAAATAAAAAGAACCAGACACAGAATTTTGATAAACCATAAAAATAATTTAAGTTCTGTTGACAAGAAAAATACATTTGAAAAAAAATAATTTTAGTTCTGTTGACAAGGAAATACCTTTGAATTCTATTAGGCTAATGTAATACCCTTTAATCGTACTTTGAAAATAATTTATGTTTTCAGAGGTTTTTTTTTTTTTTTTGAAACGACAAATAAGATGCATATATTAGAAGAAAAGAAGCTATAACAGGAAGCCATAGAAGAGTACAGGGAACAATAAACAGAAACATAAACACATGTACAAATATGAAGAAAAAAAATAATAAACAAAGATCAAAATGGGAAGCAGCTCCAATCTACCCAACTTTTTCCATAATTGCCTCTGTATTTGCACCATTCAAACGTTTGTAATATGATTGAATCCACCGTTTTAGTAGGAAAGGAATGTTTTTTGTGGAAGATTTTCTCATTACGGGCTAACCAAATGTTCCACACTGTCGAGTATAAGATAACATTAAGTACCTGCCTTTTGTTTGAGCAATTCCCCTAAGAATTTCCAAACTCAATATATTCCATGATGTTGTCAAATTCAATGCCCAGTACACCACACCATTTGAGAATCCAGTACCATACCGTCTTTGCAAAGTAACACCCGAATAAAAGATGGTTCACTGATTCGATTGCTCTTTCACATAGTTGACAATTCAAGTTAATTACCGAAATACCCCTTTTATTGAGTACTTCTGCAACCAGAATTTTATCAAGATTGACCTTCCATATAAAACATTTGACTTTAAGAGGGATGCGTTTCAACCAATATATCAGTGTCCCAGTGAATTGGTGAATTGGTTACCGGAATCGTCTATTAGTCTCCTCATCACGTTGACGAGATAAGTTCCTTCCTATTGTAAGTTAAAGCGAAATCCAATTTTGAAGAGAATTGAAACTCCTGAGCGACAAAGAATTTATAAAACTCATGTAATTCCATAAGTATATTGTGGTTAGGGAGGTTGTATTTCCATCTCCACATAAAGCCATCCGCGTTTATCCTGTCCAAAACTGTGCACTTTTTAATCGCCTCCATGTTGTACAGGCAAGGGAATCAAATGTGTAATGGTGTATCTCCACACCAGATGTCTTTCCAAAAAAGAATCTGCATATTGAAGCTTGGAATTCTGGAGAATATCCTACTTGGTTCGATGTTATGACTAGATAGACTTTTAATGGCCTTGTCAATATTACCCCAAACTCCAGAGCAATCTTTTCTGCACAAAAAGGTGGAGGGTGTGCTTTGAGATTATGTATACTCTCGATAACTTCCGCCCACAGTTTCCATTGTTTATTCTTAAGTCTCCACCACCATTTGGTTAAAAGTGCGATATTTTGTGTTGTTAGTGTACCAACACCCAAACCACCATTTTCTTTGCTCGCCACAATCTTAGACAAGTCCACCCAATGAGTTTTCTTCTTTTTTTTCGTTCCCGCCCCATAGGAAGCGCCTTCTGAGTTTTTCGAAGGATTCAAGAACTCCCTGCGGTGCTTTAAAAAGAGAGGTAATACGTGGGAATGCTATTTATGACGATTTTATCAGGGCCAGTCTATAAGGAATTTGGGTCCATCATGTGCGCGCCAACCTTGCTCTCTATAAATTGTCGATCCTTAAAGTTGAGTGGTTGCGAGATCTTACAAAAAAACATTCCAGAGATCATTTTCATTCTTAGTCGATGTAATTTGCTCCGGTGAAAATATAATAGTTTTCTATATAAGAATTTGAAGTGTGTTCTATATTCAATTGACGTTAATCTGCATTATAGTTATATTTTTTTGTATCAAAAACCAATTTCAAAGAAAAACACTGAGAATCATTTAAAGTAAATTACATAAAGTTTGGGGTGACCACTAATGATATTTGGACGGTTCTAATGATATTTTCTCACATTTTTGGTTCCTGTCATAACTATATATATATATATATATATATATATATATATATACTTTTTTTTTTCAATTTAATTACTATTCATCTATTGTTTATGACGTAAAATAAATAAACATGCCAAACTTCTTCCCCAATCCATCTCTCTCTATCTCTCTCATTTATATTGTAAAATAAAAATTGCAAAATTTCTTTTTGCAAAACTGCTTTACGATTATAAAAAGAATTAGTAATTTTCTTCTTATAAAATAATAACGTTATCCGGAAAAAGTAAATTTGCATAGTGATTTCCCAAATTCTGTTTTACAAGATGGATAGTCAAACCAAAATATTTGTTTAAAAGAGATTCTTTAATAGTAGTCCATCAATTTTAGTTATTTTAACCATTAAATCTTTTCGAATTATAATCATCTAAATTAAATATATAGTCTTATGATTGAATATGTACTTTATAGTACAAGTATTTTTTTTTCCTTTTTCTTCATATTATCATTTTGTTTTTCTCATGCTAGCTAGATAACAAGGCTAACTAAAAGGGATAATGACTTAAAAGCGTAACATTTTATTGGTTTTGTACACATTTAGTCCCTAAGTTTTTTTTGTCCACATTTTACCTTTGAATTTGCTCTTGTGTATAAATTAAGTCATTATTACCGGTTGCTTCCGGTTAAGCAGGTCATTTTGTGTTTGGATGGTTTACGTGGCAGTTACCCTCTTCCACCCTCATTTATCAAGAAACCTCATTTACGAACGAAGATCAGTTAGGGTTATATTGTATTTAATCCGTTCTTGATCAGTGCCTCATTACTCACCCTTTTCTTCTCTCAATCTCTCAAAACACCATTCTGATTCAATGGAGGAAAATCAAGCTTTTCCAAAAGTCGATGTACACTATAACGATACTTTTGTGCCTAATCCATTAGTGTCTTTTGATCCACAAGTACTACGTCTGAATGAAGATGCAAACGAGTTTGTTTTCTCCGATTTCATCAAATATGTTGAGAAGCTTACCGATTTTCAGTGCAAGCATGTGTATTACTGTATACCTGAAGTGAGATTGAGTGAGGGGCTCCAAACACTACAAAATGAATGTGACTACTATGAGTTTCTTGAGGTTGCAAATGCTAACAGACACGTGGATGTGTATATTGACCATGATAATGAACCTATATTTGAGTGGATTCAGAAAGAAGAACCAGGCGATGAAGAACTTGTGTATTTAGAAGAAGATGTCGACTCTGTTTTGGCAGATGATGATAACTGTGAACATGAAGAGGATAAATCTGTTACATTAAGCAAAAGAATCTTTAAAAGAACCTATAATGATAAGTTTTTGAACAAGTTATGTCCAGTAGCTGTTGAAGATGAAGATGAAAAAGGCAATGAACTTCCAACTGTCTACCCTAGGCATGATGCTACTCAGGAATGGAGGAAGATGAAGCCTGAACTAGGTATGAGATTCTATTCTCCTGCTGAACTTAAGTCATTTCTCACTAACTATGCAGTTGCACATGGATATGACTTGTATTATGAGAAGAATGACAAGGATAGTGTAACATCCCAAATTTCAAGACCAAAAATTTTATTTTTGATATGACAATTTAGAAAACATTTATAAGAAAACATACTTGAGTAATATCATTGCATAAAACCACAATCTCATGTCTCAAAATCATATCATAAAAATAGTAA